TCAAGAGCTTTCATTTGAGTACTCACATGCATTTTTCATATATTTTTCATATATACATATATGTAATATATATAAATATATAAAAAATTGATGTGGGTGCTCAAATGAAAGGTCTCCATGAGTGTAATATCGAAGTGAGCTTATATCTTCAAAAATGTCAATAATTCACAAGAAACAAGGTAATTTCTTAATTATTTATATTTTTAAAGAAATAAGCTCATCCTAATGTTACACTCATCGAGAGCTTTCATTTGAGTACCCACATGCATTTTTGATATATTTTTCATATATACATATATATAATATATATATAAAAAATTGATGTGGGTACTCAAATGAAAGGTCTTGATAAGTGTAACATCGGGATGAGCTTGTATCTTTAAAAATGTCAATAGTTTCCAAGATACAAGGTCATTTCTTAATTATGTATCTAGAGATAGACCAAATTTTTCTTATTTTTTTAACAATACAGATCAATTTCATTGTTTATTGTAATTTTTATCAAAAATACTTACATCAGGAACAAAATGATTGGGTCGAATCTGAGCAAGCAGACCAAGTGTCTGAGGTAAACTCTTGGCCTTGGAAGCTTTGACCATTATGTTCCTCAGCGGACGGCTATGTCTGATAGGAATATCGGACATGAACTCAACTCCGCCGGCAATCACTGAATCAAAAGCTCCAGATGCAATCAAACCCATTCCTGTGGTCAGTGCTACGTTGCTGCTAATACAGGCCATGGTGACAGTGTGCGCTGGTGTCTTGTCGCTGAAACCTGCTGCCAAGGCTGCTTCTCGGGCTATGTTGGAGGTTTTTACTTCTTGCATTACTGTTCCGTAGACTATGTAGTCGATCATTTCTTTTGGGATGTTGGTTTTACGTTGTAGTTCCCTTTTAAATAATTTTTAATAAATTAAATTGTAAATAATGATAAATTTTTTTTTTTTATGGTACAAAAAATTCATGAAAAATTATAAATCAATATTTATGAACAAAAAGAAAAAAATTATAAATGAAATTTTTAAAATAAAATTCATGAAAAATTATAGATAGAATTTTCAAAATAAAATACATAATAAATTATGAATGAAATTTTTTTAATTTTTAAAATGAATTTGATCAAAAATTAATAATAAATTTTTTTAAATAATTTTCTTAATTTTTTTTAAACATCAATAGTTTCTTATGGCAAAATTATCTTCAAATATATTTTCTCATACCAAAATTTTTCATTGTTCATAATTTAGATAATTAATTATATTATTTTGTTTATATTATGATGTGGATAATTTTTGCGGATTAATAAAGAGGAGCCAAATTTCAAAAATTATCAAATGTCTGCTAATTTATGACATTGAAATTAGCAGACACTTGATTATTGGAGGCTAATTTTTAAAATAGAATAATTTTTTAAATTTTACTTAAAAATAAAAATCAAAATTTTATAAAACTGTGAATGAAAATTTTACTGAAATATTTTTTTTCAATTTAGCTAAAAATGACTAGATACCTGCTAATTTCATTCACAATGAATTATTCAATTTTTTTAGATAAAAATACTTACACTAAAGAATGCCTCGCTAAATCAAGAGCCATCAACTTGCTATAATGAGTCCCGGATAGCAAGAAAGGTGTTCTGACTCCATCAATGAACACAATATTTTTATTTGACGGATTATCAATTTTCTTAGCGTAGGTTCTGCAAGCATTACTACCTGCCGCCAAAGTATATGTACCTGAAAAATAAATTCACCATTAGAATTTTTTGAAATTAGTATCCTCAAATCCGTAAAATATTGTTTCATTTTTTTATATGAACTTTGGACCAGGACTTAAATAATACAAAAATTATTAGAAAAATAAGGAAAAAAAAAAATAGAAATTACCTGGAAAAATACTTTGACTCCTTACTGCACTTTTTAACATTAACAATGACATCTTGATTGTTTATTTAATTTCTTAATTACTTATTTATATTTATTTTTGTGAATGGAGAGCAGAGAGTTTAATGTTATTTATAACCAGGTAAAAAAGTTCTCTGTAATTTGTTAACTTTTCACTTGCAGTCATACCAACCTAATGAAAATTAATAAAAATTATTTGCTATACTTTTTTTTTTTTTATAAATTTTGTAATTTAAATTAATTAGTAAAATAGTAATTAATTAATTACATTTAAGATGAAATATTGTTTAATTTTATAATTTTGTAATAAAAATTATAAAAATTAATTTAGGAGATATTTTATAATTTTAAGAATTTTTTTAACAAACAAATTATGGCAAAAAAAAAAATTTACATGTAGAAATTTTAAAATGTAAAAAATGCAATTTTTTTTTTAATTTTTTGGAAAAAATTCATTTGTTAAAAAATTTAAAAAATGATTAAGTAACTATTAAAAAATGTATTTATTTGTTAAAAAAAATTAAAAAATGGTGAAGTAACTGCTAACTTTAATGGCATTAAATATTAATAATTAATTAAACGAAAAAAATACTTACAAATTAGAAAAAAAATTATTTTGATGAATTTTCATTTTTGTTTCTCAAAAATTTCTTATAACAGACATTAGAAATTTTTTGTTTATTTTATAGCAATAAAATTATAACGAAAAACATTTAATAAAAAAATTCTACACGTAAAAATTAAAAAAAGATAGTAGTGGAATTTTTGGAAGTATTTTTATTATTTTGTAAATAATTTATATTAAGAATTCAAAAAATTGACATAAAAATAAAGTTACCCGCGATTTCTAATTTTTTGATTTTGCTTCATTTATTAAATTAGAACTAAAAAATATTTTTTTAAATTTGCGCTTATAATTTTTAAAATTTTTTACAGGTCAATTTTTTTTTTTAATTGTTAATAATAATTTTTTTAATAAAAAAAATTATTAAAATTTTTAGATGTCAGCTTATTTAATTTTTATAAAATTGACAGCTGTCAGCTAACTTCAATTTCATAAATTTCTTAAAAATTTGATGACACTGAAGTTGACAGACATTAGAAATTTAAGTTAGCAATCACTTAACAATTTTTTAATTTTATTTAACAAAAAAATTTCTTCCAAAAACTTATTTTAAAAAAAATTGTATTTTTAATTTTTTACAATTTTTACATGTCAATTTTTTTTTAATATTGTTTTTGCACTAATTTATTTCTTAAAAAAATTCTAAAAGTGATTAAATATCTGCTACTTTAATTTTCATAATTAAAATATTATAAAAAAAAATTTAATTAAATAATTCCACATGTGACAATTAATAAAATTTACAAGTGAAAATTTTTAGAAGCATTTTTTTATTGTAATTGATTTGTTAAAAAAATTTTTAAAATTGACAGCTGACGGCTAACTTCAGTATCACAAAATTTAAATTTAGCGCAAACTTCAGAGTAAAGAAAAAAAACTAAAACAGACATGCGCAGTAGCATATAAAAATTTTTCGGCGCCATTTGCAATTGCCATCAAAGGGTAGGTTGTCGATGAGCGGTAAGAGCTTCAAAAATCTCAGAATCTCGATAAAAAAGTTTTAAATAAATCGATGATTACAATAAATATATCTCGGTTGCTCGGTTTGAGTCCGGTCTAGGTCTAGGGTCTCGGGTCTCGGGGATGCGCATGCGAGCAACACCGTGTATTAGTTGTGTGTGCTCTATCTATCTGTCATGGATTCTTATAATCGTCCGCGAGCGTACATACGTGGTAATTTAACAATTATCCACGTAATTAATGCTGTTTATAAATTTATTTAACTTTATCTACCGTTGAATTTATTTATCGGTTCCGTGTTGTCATTAATATTTTATCTAGTCGGTGTTATTGTGTTTGCTCATCAAGTGTTATATATTTGTATTTATATATTATTATTATTACAATAATAATAATAATAATAATAATAATAATTATTATTATTAATATTGATATATATATAATATTAATTATTAATGATCAGTCAACAAATAGAATTTTGATTGATGAAATTAAATTTAATGTCATAAGCGCCAGCTGATTTATTAAATAAATATTATTAAACAAACTGATGACAATGGGGAGCAAATTGGTGAGTTCATTCATTTATTTATTTTTATTATTATGATTATAATAATTGTTATTATTATAATTGTGATTTAATTTTAGGAATTTATTATTTATTATTAAAAAAATTTGCTTGATTTTTTTTGTTTATTTATTTTTGACAAATTTATTTATTATTTTTAATTAGGGGAAGTTGCGGTAAATTAGGCCAGAACTATAAATATATCACACGATAATATCAGTGTAAATTCCGGTAAAATATCGTGTGTGCTTTTATTGACAATTCGTGTCGGATTTATATTTATCACGAGACGTTGGAGATTTAGCAGGAGAAAGAGAGAGAGGGTCTTGGTTACTGGTATTTTCATGGGTGTTACTATTTTTAGGCTGATAATATTTAATAAATAACTATCGATAGAATCATTTTGAAATATGTACCGCTGGTTTTTTTCTTCTTTTATTTCCTCGGTTTTATTGCGGTGAGTTTTTATTTATTTTAATAGCTTTTATTAATTGCTATAAGGGTTTTTTTTATTTTTTTTTTTTTCATGGAAAAAAAGTGAATTATGAACATATTTTTTTGGTGAAAAAGATTATATGTAATTGGTAATTTATTTTTTAATTTTATTGTGATTTAGAGGTTTAATAGAATTATTGTAATCAATGGATTGATGCGATAATTAATTTATGGTAATTTGTTGTACAAATTGATAGTCAATTTATAATTATATTATTTCAATTATGGGTTTAGTTTGGAGTGAAAATTTTCAATTTTTATTTAATTAATTTTTTTTTTTTTTTATTAAAATTTAGTTAAATTTTTTAAGGGGGAATAATACTGTGAACGTCGAAAAAAAAATAATTTTTTTGACAGGGAAAATAAAGGAATTTAGGGATTGAATTTTTTTTATTTTATTAAGGGTATGTTAAAGATTATTACCTTAAATTTTTATTAAAAAATATTTAATTATTACAAAGTTATTAACAATTTTATAGAGCACTACACAGAAAGAAAATTAAATTTTTTACAAAAAAGGTTTTTCATAATTTTGATCCATAGCCCAGATATTTGAGTTAAAATTTTTAAACACATAGTTTAATCAAATTTTTTTAAAATCGAATTTTAAATTAAAAATTCTGGCTAATTAATAAGAGATAAGGAAAAATTGATAGAAACCTTCTTTGTACACAGAAAGAAAAATTTCTTGACTGGAGAGCAAAATTCTTGGCTCAAGAAAATTTTCGGGTGTCTGAAGGAAGACCGGTGTTGGCCGAAGTGAACATTTTTCTTTAAATTCTATTCTTAAAAGTCATTTTTTCTTAATTCACATCATAAATACTTGATACGAAATTTTTATATTTGATCAAGATTTTTAGATACTTTAGGGAAGCAGCGCCACCTATTTCAGCTGAGAAAAAAATTTTCTCACCTTGAGAAAATTTTTCTCTTGAATATTTGATACCCATTTTATATTATTTTAGCGTGCAATTATACATATTGAATGAAAAAAAATGATGAAATATTATTTGATCTTCCCATTTGACATTTTAGTCAATAAAAATATTAATGAAAATTTACTTCTATCTTTATATTTAATTTTTTGGAGCAAGAGAAATTTTCTCAAGACAAGAAAATTTAATTCTATCAAGAACTAAATTTTTTGGAGCTAGAGACTGAATTTTCTAAAATCAACAAAATTTTTTTGACTTAAATAAATTTTCTTGGATCAAGATACATATTTCTTAAAGCAAGAGAATTAATTTTTAGAATAAGTGAAATTTTTTGTCAAAAAAAAATTTTTTTTCTCAAGAAAATAATTAGAAAGAAAAATATTTTCTTGGCTAATTAAAGAAAATAAAAACCCAAATTGTTTTTTAATCAATAAGGATGTAGTTATCGTTGCACGTATGGAATTTTTAGAATTTTAATTTTTAAAAAAAATGGCGATTAATTGAAAATTTTCTCATTATTTTTACTGTTTTTTTTTTTATTTTAACTCGGCTAAAAAAATCTTTAAAATTACCTTTTTTTTCGACCGTCACAGTTCCCCTTTAAATAATTAATTTAATTTTTTAATAATAAATTAAAAAAAATGTTTATTTGTAAAAATTACCAAAATTTTTACAAATAAACAAAATATTATTTTCAATCTTTATTTCTAAAATAAAATTTATTTTTGTTTAGTAAAATAAAAAAACAGAATTTAAAATAAAAAATTAGAATTTCAAATGAAATAAAAGAGAAAAAAATATTAAGTATAAAAAACGAATATTTGACTTAATAATTCAAAATAGTGCTATAAAAAATCAATAAAATCCCGGCGTTAAAAATGAATCACCAAAGAAGAGATCACTTTTAAAATAAACTGACATCTCACTACAAAAATCGATACTATTTATTACATATATCAATTATTCATTACACCAAAAATTATTCACATAAAAATACAACTAATCGATTAAAAACCTAGATAAGAGTAGTAAGAAAAACAACATTTATTATTGAGCACGTTCTACATTTATAAACACAATACGTCACAAGCCGTAAGTAATTCTCATAACAGAAAATTTATTATTTACAACCAATTATTTTAGATTTTACAAAGGTACCACGAAAAGATAAAATCAGCTATTTTTCGCAAGATAAAAAATGTAAATAAAAATCCAGCGGTCCAGTTTTCTACGGTCAATTTCAATCAAACCCGAGATTTATTCTCTTGCATAAATCTCGAATAATTAAATGTTTGAATAATTTATCTCTTGTCTTGCGAGCATAAATAAAAATAAATTAAGCATAAAATAAAATGGACATGATAAATCGTAGAGGAAAAAATAAGAAATAATAATAAGAGAAAGAAAATACAAAGTGTACGGAAGAAAATATTTTTTTGGCTCGAGTCACC